ATTGGAGAATATTGTAACAACGGGCAAGTTTGATGGAAAGATAGGCAAAGGCAGACAGAGGGAAAAGATACTGGACAAGTTGACAACATGGCTGGAAGCAGCAAGAACAACAGACACCTCAGAACTACGAAGTTCTATCTGAGGTAGCGGTTTGTCATGAACAGTATTGTATTGTTTTAATGTACAGTGTGCCCCCATTTTAGCACTGTAGAAATCTTCAAAAGATCAATAAAAGTAGCGCTGGAAAGCCATGAAAACTACTCCCCAGACAACCCAGTTTCTTGACGCTCAGTTGGGATTCAAACCAAGGCCCTCCACACCGGCGTCCAACATGACACCAACCGACATATCACTATCAGGGCCGCCTTCTCCTCTGTCTCTGTCTGTCTTTCCCCGCTGTTGCTTCGATGGTGGCCTGTGATTGTGACTCTAACATCTGCCACTTTTCCTGTCGTGGTTTTCCTGAAAAAAGAACAAAAGACAAACAAAAAGCAAGACCGAAGTCATTACAGTAATCTGAGCGTCATAGCTGTTGGCTTACAGAAACTGCTGATAGCTATTTTAAAAATTAATTTAAAAAAGGGATGACGGTTCACGAATATTGTAAGCACGAGTGAATGGTGTGCATCCATTCGTTGAGTGTTATCTGGAAACAAAATTAATAATTGCAACGTGTCGTAATGCCGTTGACTTTATTTCCTGTTTCAAACAGACACGATGGAAACCTTGAGAAATCAGTCTGTAGAAGAAGAACGGATTTTGAAAATGGCAGTCAGGTGATCACAAACCCGATAAGGTGTGGAACAGTAATGGAAAGTGGGCGAGAGAAGAGGGGGTGGGGGGGCGTGGGGCGAGGCTGTTTTGTTGAGAGATTTTTGCGTAATTTTTCTCAATTCTCTGACTAGACGCTATCTTAAAATTACAAAGTTGTCTCTGACATTTTTTGGACATTTTAAGTTACTAAGAAAATGAGGTCAGAAGTCAAATGTTCTGTCTGCTCCATCAAAATCTTAAGATTATTGGGAGTCGTTAGCAAGTCATTCAAAGAATTACATTCGAAAAATTTAATAAATATGTTGTGAAACTCAAAATTCTTTCCCCAAATTTCGCAAAAGTGGGTACCGTTACTGAACAGTCTGATAGAACTTTTTCGTTCTAGGTTAGAGCAGAGGCAAGTTGTTTTTCTTGTCCCTTATTTGAACGGATTTTACCTATTGGTAATTTTATTTGGCAGTTTGACTTTCCGAATTAAACATTTGGTTAGTTGTCTTTTTGGCTGGGTTTAGATTTTTTAAAAATTCTTTTTTGAAGGGTGGGGGGGGTTTTTGTTTTTGCTTCTATGTGGGAGTACTTTTTTTGGTTTCTTTTTTATTAGTTTGTTTTTGTTGTTTTGTTAGTTCATTGCTATTTTTATTTGGTTTTCGAGAGGTGGTGGGGTGAAGAATGTCAAGCTGAAAGAAGATTATTGTGTCTTTTGCAGCGTTTCAACAGAACATGAGTTTGAGCATTAATTTATTGTAATTCAAGGACAAGGGAAAGATAAGTACAAAAGTACAAGGTGCAATCTGTGAATAATTTTCCCTGTGCCATGCCGTTCAAAAAAGCAGTACGTAAAACTTTTTTTTAAAAACAAGACATATTATGTGACATATTCAATGCATTGCATGTATATGGGTGGTACAAAAGATTAACTTAGTATGGTCCCCATACCCGACCCAGTATGTCACGGGTTGGATAAAGGAATTGCTTCCAGATAATATAACGTGGTCGGAAGCTATTAAGATGTACTAGCTTCTTAAAGCGGTTGGGTTTTGTTTTTTTTTCTTTTAGGAAAGTGGAAAAAACTGTTTTATTCGTTTAACAGTTACTGTACCTTATGTTGTTTGTTGTTTGTTTGTTTGTTTTTGTTGAGGGGTTGTTGATTTTTGTTTTTTGTTGTGGGGTGGTTTTTTTTGGGGTTTTTTTGGGGGGGGGGGCTATTCAACATTTAGATCTTGAATTTTGTTAAAATATTTCTTGAGCACTTGCAACCCATACCACAGATTAGATAACTGGAATGAAAAGAAATTAATTCAAACTTTTGAGGTCCGTACAATTCAACAGCTGTCCGACGATAATATGGAGGTTAACTGCTTATAAGCTGTCGTGAGAGATACTCGTGGAGAGTAGAAGAACACCTTGGTGGCACAGGTGCTTCGATAGATTCTTCAAATGCTCAAACAACGCCACATCTCGGTGACGGGAGGCAAAATAAATCCTACCAAAGCCCCCAACTATTTTGTAGTTAATACGCGGATGACAAAAGCTATCAGAGAAAACTGTTAACACAAACTGGAACTAGGAAAAAACCCACAGCAGTATCTCCCAAGAAAAGTCAGAAAAAGCAAAATGTCTGTTGAAAGATAACAGAGTAAGGATCACCGTCGGCAGAAGGTGCCGCCGACCGTTATTCAGCATTTTGCTTGGAAAAAAACCCCCACTAAATCTTAAATAATTTAAAACTGTGACACACGCTGTAAAAACTATGGTCCAGAACCACACACGAGCAAATAAAAAACAACTGGAAATTGGTTGCATAGCCTTTAAAATATAGCTTTAGATAACAAGATGAAAACGGAGAGGCTCGATTAAAAACTCAATGGGAAAATGTCCAACATCGTTTTTCAAAAAAGAAGTGTAGGAGTTGTTTGGTGAGGCAAGAGCAATATATAACACCAACGGTGTTTAGGTAGAATCAAACGAACATTGTCATCGTTGCTCACTGAAAAGGAAACCAGTGGACATCGTTGTCATTGAAGTATATGCAGCAACATCAGAGCATGGCAGGGTGGAAGTAGATACATTTTATGAGAACCTTAGCAATAATGCGACCATCTATTATTGCACAGTTCGTAGAACTGGAATTTTTATTTTTTTATTTTTTAAATTAAAAAAATAATTTCTTTAAATAAATAAATAATTAATAATAATAATAATAATAATAATAATAATAATAATAATAATAATAATAATAATAATAATAATAATAATGATAATAATAATTTTAATAATAACAATAAATTGCAGTTACTTTACCCATTTTTATCTCGACGAGATACCCAATACTAATGACTACAACATCTTTTTTTTAAAATAAAGAAGCAAAATCAAACGCAAACATAATCAAGAAGTATTTGGTTTTCCTCTACCATAAAAAAATTACACGCAGTTCGTCATACTGATACTACATAAAATAAAGTCCACAAGCGCAATAAACAGATAAATAGACACGCAAAAAGTGCAAAGCAGTACATTCATAATACAAACAATTGAACGTAAAAAGCATGATTCTTGTTGACATCCCACAATCCGAACAAAGAGTCAACAACTGAGACAAAAGCAATAGTATATACAAAAATCAAACCATGTTCTTTGGTGACATAATGAAATAGACCAGTAGCGACTCCAGTTGATGAAGCTTTTTATATATATAAATGGAAGAATATATATTATACCTTAATCTGAAGATGGTAACAATAAAATATTATCACAGATGGGAAAGTTCACAAATGAGCTCATGAAATATGTCACGAACGCTCGTTACTTTTTGGGCATAAAGAGCTGTGAGAATTATCATAAAGCCTGTTCGTTTGCCTTGACTGTGGCGGAAAAAAAATACTCCTCTGTTTTGAATAAAAGTCGGTTTATTTGCGATTGAAGGTGGTCGGGTTCATCTTGTGTCAGGGGTATATTTAGCAGCTTCCAAACAGTAGTGCACTTGGAAACTACAATTTTACACTTTGGTCAGCATTTTTGAGTAAAATTCCACGAAGGAATGTATTTTAAAATGGACACAAAAAGTGCCAAACCCAATTTTTTTTTTAATCGATCAAAATTGCTGAATGAGAGGGAAAATGATGATTCGTTCGATTTCATTACATTTTGACGAACGTCTGATTTTGCCATGATACCGTACATCAATGAGTCTTCAGACTCTTTTCAAATTGAGTCAAAGTTGTCGTTCGCCTGTTTCTTTAAGGCATGGGAGCCCAAATGGTGGAGTGGGAATGGAAGGCAGAAAAAAAAAACACTAGCATAAAATTATCTAGGAAATAGTTGCCAAACTTTTGGCGAATGACACATTTGAATGTGGTTGGAAACTGCAAATTTACTTTGTTTGTGCCTCGGATCAACTTTCTTTTCTTTTTTTTTTTTTTTTTTTTTTTCTTTTTTTTTTTTTTTTTTTTTCTTTTTTTTTTTTTTTTTTTTTTTTGCAGTTAAATCTGCACAAGAATGAATGTATATTATTTAAATACACATATAAGTTGCTTAGACAAAATCATGCTCTTATCTTTAAACTAACATCAAGAGTAAACAATTAATTAAGGAACCAAGGTTAACAATGGTGAAATGGTATAGGTTTAACGCCCTTATCAACACGATTAGGTTATTTAAGAGGTTAACAATGAGATGTCAATTGTTTCACAGACTCCTGATTATGACAAATTCATTAACATCTCCACTATGCCCCAGAATTAGTTTCCTACGACTTTCATTTTCCCCCAAATCAAAAAAAAAAAGACAGAGAAGGAAGCGATTTGAAGCCGAGAAAGAAATTGTGCTCGAAAAAAATGCCTTTCTAGAGATTTTAGCAGAAGGAACTCGGAACCAACGAACGAACATGACCGTGGTAATAAATGAAATGTGACCTAGAAAGTAACTACATTCTGTGGTTGATGTTGATTTCTTTAGTTCTCGGAGGTGTGGCAAAAAATACCCTTGTCTAATAGAAACTGATATAATACCTGGCGTTTCTTATTTGTAGTTGCAGACGGAGATTTACTTGGAGGGTCGAAAATTTCTTACATAGGAAGCAAAAATTCTAATAGTATTTTTTACCCTCCAGCCACGTTTGTATTGTGCTAGTGTTATATTTCTTTTCCATCTAAATATCGCGCGGAGTGTAAAGACAAGGTGAGTTTCACGTCTATATAAAAACCCATGAAAAGGAAGTATCATCAGACAATGCAGACTGACCTCTGATCCTTGTCATCACCACGATAACAGAATACCTTCTCCCTTTGAGAAAACAGAAACAACAAGGTATATTCATGTAACTATAATAAGAAATCATTACTATTCTGTCCAAAGTGTACTTAACTATAAAATAGTATGTAGTACCCAATTGCGTGGGTCGGAACCAGTTTCGTGGCAAATTCTGGTACACAAAAAGGCTGAATGATACAAGGTACGGCGCCATTTCTAGTTTCATGTCACTTTGAAGAAAACGTTTCCCTGCCAATTTACTACCTCAAAATTATATAGTTCTGTCTGACATTTTTGGCCGTTTTGAGTTACTAAGACCATGAGGTCAGAAACCAAATTTTCAATCAGCTTTAATATCGTAAGATTATTCGAAGTCGTCATTAAAATATTCAAAAGACTGCATTCGAAAAAGCCTGACAGGTTGTGAAACTCAAAAGTGTTGGTGTCATATTTCTCAAAACAAGGAACTGAGCATTTATTCTTCTGTCCCTTCGGTATACAAAAATGAGAGAGTTAAGTCAAAGTCGACGCCAGAACTTCAGCAGCAGTGCTCAGTAGTGTGCGGTTCTGCATTGCTATCCTCGACAATGCTGGGCACAGAATTCGCTATATCAGAATTTCAAAATAAATTTTAGTTTTATAGTCTTACGGTACTTCAAGACAAATCCCAACCTCAGAAGTACAAAGATCTAGCAGCTCAGTGTCTAATTTTGATCAATTTGACGTCAAAGATTTTGATTTTCACTTCGTGTCAAGCTTATTCAGGTGCATTTTTTAAAATTGTGATAACGACTCCGAATAATCTTATTCCCGACAATATGCTAACTGAACGCATGTTTTGAGAACCTTTAGTGGAAAAAAATATAATCATTATAAAAGTAATTTCTTGTGGCAAATTTTTCCAATAAAAATTGTCATTGGTGAGCTGTAACGAGGGCAATATGCGTATGCCAAATGTGTGAAAGAAACGGGAGGTGCTTTGAACAATCCCATTTTCCGCGTGACGTAGATTTGTAGTATTTTATCTAAATTTATGAAGAAATGTTGTTTCTTTTAATCTAGCCTCAGTTGTAGAGGAAAAATATGATTTAATTTAGACAAATTAATACAAACTGCTATGCGAAGTATGGGTGACATTGATTCTCCCAAAGACAGATAGATAGATAGATAGATAGATAGATAGATAGATAGATAGATAGATAGATAGAGAGATAGATAGATAGACCAAATTTTGTATTCTATTTCCAGACCCCAATATGAAATTGGCAATCCTCTGTCTAGCTCTTGCGACTGTGTAATCGGGTCTGTACCTCCCTGTGGAAGAAAAGAGAAATCTTCACGATGTTGCCCAAATAGTTGAGAATGTTTTCAAAGAATGCGAGCATGTTCTTCATCCTGGTAAAAAAAAATCTTCAAGATGTTGCTCAAATAGTTGAGGATATCATCGCTCAAGTTAATCCTATTCGTACGCCCTGGCGTCATTTGGTACCCCGGGGTTGTATTCTTCACATCTTATAATACTTCTAGTACGAAGCTCTCTTTGAAACTTTCAGTATTTCTCGAAAAATCCCTTTGGCAGACAGCTATGCAAACGTGAGGATCAGATAAACGAGTAAGTTTCCTCTTTGGAAAGTGGTGGCACAGAGTTCCCCCACGTCGTATGGTTACGATAGTAAAACACGACATACGGATATAGTTAATAATCTTCTTGACCCTAGCAATGACACCCCTGAAAAGAGGGATTTGGACGAGTTTCAGCCATCATTAACGGTCTCACCAAAAATTCAAATGCCAGCTCCTTCAAATTGCTCATAAAATTTAAGAGTTAGATGAGGGGATTCAACATGCTGTTAACCCAGGCGGTGCTGTTGCAAGGGAACTCAATATTAATTATAAAGATGCTTTTTAAAATATAACTTAAAAACTATCTCAGCAATTTGGTAGATAAGTAAGTATTCTAATCAATGTTAATGGTCACTGGCCCACATCCTATAAAGAATACACCTTTTACAGAATAGACTTCCGTGAAATGACAAAAATAAATTTTACAATCAGCAAGCAGACCCCTTGTGGGGAGGAGGGGGGAGCAGCTGTGGCATTGTTCCGCCTGCAATGATATTACGATACTATTCTCCGACCAACTAAGCAAGTAAGTTGG